TTGAAGAAGGCAAAATGGAGGTGACAGCTCCAGCCACTACATGTGCGTTCCAAGCAGCAGGAGGGAGGAAAGTAGGGAGAAGGGCAGAGAGCGTGTGCTAGTTACCTTTAAGGAGATTTCCTAGAAGCTGTAAGATAGCATTTCTAGATCTTGTTGGCAGAATTTAGACACTTGGTTGCTCCTGGTTGTAAAGGAGACTGGGAAATGTAGCTTTAACTGGTAATTTCTGTGCCAAGCTAAGTACCAGGGGTCCTATGAATAAGGGGAGAAAGGAGGCCTGGCAAGCAGCTAGGAATCTCTGCCACACAATGGCCATTTGTTTCCCAATACCATGCACTTTGTCTTCCCATGCATAGAGCACTCTCAGCCCCTCCCTGGGGTTTCCCTGCACCAGATCTCATCACTGTATCTAGCCCCAAGCTCAGGATCTTGGGAGATCTGCAGCCCTCTCCTGTAGGTCTTGATATGGCTCCTTAGAATTTGGAACTTAATACTAAACTTTGATTTTAGTGGACTTTAAAAATTTGGGTGGACTTTAAACCAAAGATAGGTTGTCGGTTCCCACACTCACTCAGTATGGGATGGTGGAGAAAGCACGGCACCAACAGAAAAGGGATTTCCATTTGGAAGAAGGGCAAATACTTCCAGCAGCAGCAGCCACTGGCATCTGTGATCAGGCCCCATCAGGAGATTTTGTTAAAACAAAAAACCTATGATTGGTGGAAGAATCACAGAGTAGCCCCTCTGGCTAGCCTGACTCCACTTTCTAGGAAGAACCTTGTGTTCGGTGCCCTCTGTGGAGAAGTAAGCCCCCTGTGCCTGACTCCCCCTCCTGAGGAACCATCCTTGTCTAAGTTCCTCCAGGGCCACTGTGGTGGGATGGGGGGAGTACTATTTGGGGGTCTGCATGGCTTTCAAAAAGCCCTTCCTATAGGATAATGTCCAGCAGCCTGAGAATTTTTTTAAAGCAAGCTGTAGGCCAGGCTTGGGGCTCCCAAGTGACATGTTTCCTGCACACCTAGTGGCTTTTAGTTTATTTGTCTTGATGAGTTAGTTCCACATGCCTGAAATGGCCCCAGATGATCATCCAGATGCAGGTTCAGGGGCAGCCTGGCCCTTCTGTCTATGATTCTGACTCCAAACCGTGAACTGGAGAGAGGGGCAAGCAGAACCTTTCCTTCAGATTTTTGCATGAAATTATTGCCTGATTTTAAAACTTCAATCACTAATTTAAATGTTTGAAAATCATGATTCAAGACAAATAAACATGCCTATGCATAGGTATGGCTCAAGGGTGCCCAAGTGGAGGATGAATTGGGGTCCCTGTGCAACACGGGCCGAACTGAGGGTCCAAGTTTATCTCCTTTTACCCTAATAGGGAGGGCCAATGGTGCACATACTGGAGGTAGAACTGGCCACAGCTGAAGGCCAGGACTCTTGCAGAGACCACGAGGGTAGAATAAAGTTCAGGACAGTCTAGCTGACTTCACTGCCCTCCTAAGGTTTTCAAGGCTGCCCTCCATGTGTGGGCTCTGGGAGAGGGACCCCAGGCCTGGGGCAGGTGCTGAGGCCATGTTTGCCTGTCCTACAGACTCCACCAACCGGGACTCGCTGGACATGATCGAGCGCTGCATCTGCCTGGTGTGCCTGGATGCCCCAGGTGGTGGGGAGCTCAGTGACACCAACAGGGCACTCCAGCTCCTGCATGGAGGAGGCTGCAGCAAGAATGGGGCAAACCGCTGGTATGACAAGTCCCTGCAGGTAAGTGCCCCCTTCTGCAGAGCCAAGCCCAGCACTGTCAGCCAGCACGTGCATCCACTGGCCTCTGTACCCAGGGTGCTGGATTTGGTGGGGGTGGGGCAGCTGAAGGGTCCTGAGATGTACTATTGCTGTCACCTCTGGATTGGCCGGAGCTCTTCAGGAGTAAGTGACTGAGCCCAGCTGAAAATTCCAGCCTCCTGCAGCTTGTGCCAGGAAGATCTGGGTCACACCTGGGTCTCATCCCCCACCCCCATCACACACTGTATGGTGGGGACATAAAAGTGATGGGAGACCGCCACATTTCTACCAAATAAATCCCCGGCACATTCATGGAGAATCATGTCAGCTTTTCCTAATGGCTACCACCTGGTTTCAACATACCTTCCTTAATCCTTGAGAAATGGGGCAGCCTATCATCCCTACAGAAGAAAAGTCCTCAAATGAAATCAAATAATTCATGTTTTCTCATTCACGTGACATCATCCTAGAACACAATATGTACTTCCACCTGGAGGAAAACACCCAGGCAGGTGAGGAAGAAGTGGAACTTAGGCCATTCATTCCTGTTCTCCATCTTTTCTTCCCTCAACATGCCAATCCCAGATCTGTTTTCAGTTTTAAAGCTACCGTACTCTCACAGTGACCGTTTAAAAGAGCAGGCAAACCCTGGCTCCTCTTCGGCATGGCAGGGCTCAATTTGGTGAGCACTTCTTAGGAACACCTCGTTTTTCAATCTCTGTCCCTGTGTTATCCTTTTTGTTGGTTTGCGTTGTCAATTCTTTTGTTTCTGACGGGTTCTCCTGCCAGTGTGCTGGCTGTTTTAGCTGTCACAGTGTAGCTAACTGCTTGTGATCTTTCATGGAGCAGCTGTGGAATGCAAAGATATAATGGATGCCCAGGATGAGGAACATAATAAGCCTTGGAGCATCTTTTTTGTTTTGTTTTGTTTTCAGTTCTGGGGATGGAACCCAGCAGGGGCATTTTACCGCTGAGCTACATCCCCAGCCCTGTTTTATTTTGAGATAGAATCTCGCTACCTTGCTGAGGCTGGTCTCGAACTCATAATCCTCTTGAGTAGCTAGGATTGCAGGCATGTTCCACCTCACCCAGCAATGAGCAGTTTTTAAAAGATACTGTTTTCCTCCTTTCCTTTGAGTGGCAGGGACAGAGGCACTAATGTCGGAGAGCCTGTGCTGGCCTCCGGGTGGCTTTCACAGGCAGGACAGCTTATCAGACAAGCCAGGAAGCCCAGAGAGGCTCCATCAATCTGAATTTGAGAAGATGAAGGATGAGTCTCGGCACAGAAAGGCAGGGAGTGGTAGGAGAAAGAAAAAGTCAGCAAGGGATGCCTTTGGAGAGAAGTTCTGTGGTCAGTTAGTTAATTTTCCTTTTCATTTGTAGAATAGTAGTAAAGATTCCAGCATGTGGCATTCAATTGGAAAGAAGCCCTGGGGTGTGTGTGATATGTTCTGGTCCCCTGAAAGAGATTCAAGAGCTTTTTGGCTGCCTGCCTCCCTCCCTCCCTTCCTTCCTTCCTTCCTTCCTTCCTTCCTTCCTTCCTTCCTTCCTTCCTTCCTTCCTTCCTTCCTTTCTGTAACAGGGATTAAACCCAGGCATTTAACCACTGAACCACACACCCCAGCCCTTTTTATGTATTTAATTTTGAGAAAGAATCTCACGAAGTTGCTGAGGCTGGCTTTGAATTTTCTGTCCTCCTGTGTCAGCCTCCTGAGCTGCTGAAATTATAGGTGTGCACTATGGCACCCGGTGAGCTTTTATTTGTTTGTTTGTTCCTTTATGGATGAAGGACTTGTGTCTCCTCGGTGTGATGAACCACATGCCAGACCCACTTTTAGTTAAACTTTAAGAACCAAATTTTATCTCTCTCATCATCTCCTCCTATACCTTTTGCACTGATTAAGATAAATATAGTTTTGTAAAGTCATCAAAAAAAGTCAAGTAATCTTTATGGTGTCTATGGATCCTACTCCTTTTCTCTAATCCTCATCTTAATCCTGGGAGCTGAGCCGAACTGGGCTGAGCTGGGCCTGTATTAAGTGAAGCAATCTGAAGTCCAAAGACTCAAAGCATCTTGCTGAAGCTCTCCCTACTTCCCATGGCAGCAGCAGAACTGAGAACCGGGTTCCTGGCAGCGAGGAGCAGAGCATCCTCAGTATACCTTGCCTTCACCCCTGTCAAGGGGTATTTTATTTCTCCCTAGGAATTTGCTTACTATCCAGATCAGATCATCATCTTCATTCATTTGTTCATTGCAATAATCCAGCACCTATTCTGGGGTGAACCTTTTCTGGAGTCTAGATCCTGGGAATAAAATCAGTGGTGGCCAAAACAAACAGGCATCAAACAAATGATCTCAGTAAAGATGGTGTCTGTGACGTGTGCAATGAAGGGGAAACGAGGCTGAGAAGGAGCTCCACGTGTGCTCACTAGGAACCCCTGGACTGCCTCATTCAGGGAACGTGGGGGTCTCCTTTGCACTTAGCTTTTGTGGTAAAGAGGTCACCCAGTGTAGAGCTGTCTGAGACTCACATGCAGTGGCTCAGGCCACTGCAATCACATGCAACATTCTCTTTAGGAAATAAAGTACCTTGGAGGAGAGGTATCCCAAAACGCCAGGGGAACCCGACCTGGAGCCAAGGGGCTGGTGTGAAAGGCTGACTCCCAGAGGCTCACCTCTCTCTTCCCTGTTGCAGTTTGTGGTGGGCCGAGACGGCACCTGTGGCGTGGTGTGTGAACACTCCCCATTTGATGGCATCGTTCTGGTGCAGTGTACAGAGCATCTGCTCAAACACATGTGAGTCCAGGGGCAGAACACAGGAAGACCGCCCAGAGCTGACACACCAGGCCAGGAAAAACTGGGGTGGCACCAGAGAGGGGCTCTGTGTCCATCTGGAAAGTGGCTTAGTAAAAGATGTTTTGGGGGAAAGCAGCTTAAATGTGGCCCAGATGGAGGTTGCAAACTGGACAAGAGATGTAGGGCCATCCGGAAGAGGCGGGCATGGAATTGTCAGGAACATCTGCTTTAGTCCAGGAAGCTCAGACCAATACCTGCTGTTTGTCCTGAGTCAGGACTGGGCCAACTAATGACCCAGCACAGAGGGAGGTCTCTGAGTGACAACTACTCCCTCCCCAGCCTGGGTCTTCCCTAGCCTCTGAACTCTGCTTCTCTATCCCTTAAACACACTGCATTTTTTCTTCCTTTTAGTTTTGATCATTTTCTTCTAGCACCTTCTCCCTGGTTCTAAATTCTCAATCTCTTCCACAGAACTCTTAGGGATCACTAAAATCCAAACCAATCCTTGAAAATAGAACAGCAGCTTGCTCCTATATTTCTCTCCAAGTCTTATGTAAATCTTATCAGTATAACATGACCAACAGGAAAAAAATAAAAATAATGTGTTTGGTAGTCAGGCAGAACTGAATAGAATCATGCTCTGCCTCTTACAAATTTTGGTGGCCTCTCTGAGCCTCAGTTTATTCATCTGTACAGTGGTTTGTTATAGAGCAAGGACCTGCCGCAGAACCAAGGAGCCAAGGCAGCCACAGCAGACTTCTCTCATGAATTTTTGCAATCACACCAGAAAAATTTCAGACATGACACTTCATGTAGTAGTCATGAGTTTATTAGAAAGATTAGGAAAAAAGAAAAGGGGACACTCTCAAGGGAGAGAGTGGGTCCTCTCAGAGATGAGAAGGAAGTTCATACCCACTCTTGCCCTCCAGTTTTAATGGGGGTTCCAGAGATGTTTCTAGAAAGTCCTACCCAGGTCTATCCCTTGACTTTTGACTGACAGCAGGATTGCCTCACACTTCCAAGTCCGCACTGAGCATGGTTAACAGTCCAGGGCAACTCTAGGTTGCTTTGGTCCATGTTGACTGGTTCTAATTAGAACTTGTTCTTATAGATTTTATGGTTGGGAGAATTATCCTTATCTCCCTGAGTTCCCTATTTAAGGGTCACAAAATAAGATAACTTGTGTTCCTCTTATTGGCTTTTTGGGCCTGCATTTCTTTTGCAGATAACAGGTTGTTTGCTGGGGAATGTAACATGCTTCTGACTTAAGACTGGCAGGCTGCAGGTAAATTGGTTTTCAACAGAAAGCATATGGGGGTCAGCACAGTAGGCCCAGTTTATTAGATTATCCCCTTAACTTCAAGCTCCCACCACTCATGGCTATCCGTTACCTCTCAGTTCGGGGCAGCTTATATCCTCTGAAACTCCAAGGCTGCACCCACCGACAGTTAAGATGATTGCAGTGGCAGAGGAACAGTGCTGTCCTGCAGCCCTCCAAGCCTCAGGAGGTGGCCCCTTTGTGCCCACAGGATGAAGAACAGCAAGAAGCTGGTCCGAGCAGACTCTGTCAGTGAGCTCCCAGCTCCCAGGAGGCTGAGGTGGAAATGTTCTCCAGAAATTCAAGGCCACCTAGCCTCCTCGGCTGAAAAACTTCAACGGTAAGAGAAACTCAAAGTCTCCTCCAGGGTCATCCTCCAGGGGCTGCCCGGAGTTGCCCCTCCCCCAGCTGCTGATGCACCCTGGAAGTTTCCAAAGACCCCAGCAACTCAGCCTCCCCTCCAGGGCCCACCCCACCCTCACCCCTCATGGAAATGTAGTCAAACTAAAAGGGAGTTACAACTCTCAGGAAATAACCTTGCTGAAGTATCTGTCATTTCCATAAAATGCAAACGTGGAGCTATTTTTTTCTGCAGGTTTCACCTGACTGAGCAGAGTCAAGGCCAGGAAATCATCCCCTGCTTTGGGAGAGTAATAAACAACTGGTTTGAATAGGTCATTTGAATCCAAGCTACTCAATTTGCTTGAGTTTACACTGCAACTTGACAAGGGGAGCCTTTCTCCCTAAGGGGAGGGGGTGGTTCAGGCCCTAACGGGACCCAGGAAGGAGGGAGCCAGGCAGGAGGACCAGGGACAGCTGTGAGCCCTTCTGGGTGGGCTTTGGCCAAGGACAATGGTAATGTGTGGTGGGAGCTGGGGACTGGCAACCGTATCTGGACAACTGTAGTTGTTCATTTCTTCATTCAGTGAGTGAGTATGAATGTAGGAATTCATTCATCAACTCACTTATTCATTCATCAAACATGTGCCAAGCTCTAGTTTGTGCCAGACCTGTGGCAATGCTCTGGGAACACAGAAATTAATGTGCCATGAAGCCTATCCTTCATAATTTTAGAGGAGGAAGCAGATTCCAGGACCAAACGTGTGAAGTAGGAAGATAAGTGCCCAAATGAAAGAGAGGCATATAGACCTGAACCCACAGAGAGACAGAAATTGAACTGTGCCTGGATAGTGAGCAAGGGCTTTGCAGAAGTGGGCCTTCAAGGATGAATAGGAGTTCCAGGGGCAGGTAGACGGGGAAGAGGTAGAAAGGAAGATTGTTCAAGCTTGTACCAGTTCTTAAAGATCCAGGCTGGTCTGGAGATCAGCAAAGGCAGAATGGCCAGAATTAGGGCACAGAAGGGAAAGTGGGGCCACACTGTGGAGAAGTGCACTGTCCTCATATTATGGGCTCTGGAGCTTGCCCTGCTGGAGGTGATAAGCCCCTGGAGGAACTTGGGTGGGGAAACTTGCGTGAGCCAGGAAGGAGACTGTAGGGATAGCACAGATGATAAGGACAGGGTGTGGTCAGGCTGGGAGGCCCAAAGATGGAGATGACTGTTTTACTGAGAGCTGCTGTGGAGCTGCTCAGCTTTAGCAGGGCAGAGCCGAGGTCTCAGGATTTCTATAGAATGATCCTGACATCTCAATTTCACAGGGTGGTTTTCGGGGGATAAGTGGGCTGCCAGAAGAATAAGTGGGTGGGCCTATGAGTCCTGGGGGAAGAAGGAGCCTGCTCACTTTCAGGTCCCCAAGCAGGCCCCATGTGCTCGCAAGGCCCCTGGCTCCTCTTTCTGGAGACCAAGGTAAGGTCTGTGGGTGGGGAATCAGGAGGATCCCTGTGGGCCTGAGCAGCCCCTGGAAGGGGGATGAGGTCTGAATGGGCAGAGCCTGGGGAGGAGGTTTCCAAGTGGCTGTGGTGACAGAGCTCAGTCTGTCCAAAGAGTTTGTCAAAGGCCAGGCTGAGGGGCAAATCCTGAGGAAACTGGGTCCCCTCTAAGTCTGTGTGTGTCCCCAGCACCTGATGGAGCCCCTTGAGAGCTGCGCTCCTGTGAGGCAGGGATAATTCAAGGAGGCCCGAGGGGGCACACTAAGGCCCAAGGAAGGGTTTGAGCAGGGGTTGGGCTGAATTCCCAGCGCTTCATGCTCAGGCAAGAATAGGGGCAGAAGATGTGGATCCTGCTGGACAGTGCTCCTTTGGGCAGTCTGAAGGAGGAGACTGGTGTATTTAAGGGTGGCTGGAGCTTAAGATTCTTATGTAGACTCGGGGAAGTTTCCTATTACTCTGATAAAGACCGGGGCATATCATGGATAAACCAGGTTTTCAGCCACTGTGAAAGCTCCAGATGAGTAACCCTTACTAAGGTGACTGTGACAAGCAGTCAGGCAGGCCGCAGGACCTTCTTCCCTACAGGACACTGAGGATGAGTCTTGGTGAGGTCACGCTGCTGGCAGCCAGTTAAGAAATGAGCTCTGCTAGAGTAGCCAGAGATGAGTCCACAGTCATGTTAGCCACACCTTCTTACGTGGGTCAAATGAATGGCCTCTGTAGGCCTACTTTGTGGGCAGCAGGCTGCTAGGATTTGGTTTGTGGGCAGTGCTGGCCCTGCCCATGCAAATATCGCTAATTCCCCATGCTTCTCCCTGCCTCGTAATGCAGCTAGGACCACCTCCCTGCCAGAGCAGAGCCACCCCCTGTCCAGCTGAGCTCATCTGCCCAGGGTAGCCCTGGTCCTGCACACTTATATAGGTCAAGGCAATGTCTCTGACACCCCAGCATATTCCTGGTGGACAGGGACTGTGTCCTCATCTTCTGGAGGACTAAGATGTGAGCCAGGAGTGAGAAACTTGGGTGGGCTCTGTGGTATATGCATTTTTTTTAAAACATGCAATAAAAGTATCTTTTCTTTCCTTCAGAATAGTAAAGAATCTTGACTTCGTTGTCTATAAGTTTGACAACTATGGGAAAACATTCATTAAGAAGCAGAAATGCAGCCCTGATGCCTTCATCCAGGTGGCCCTACAGCTGGCCTTCTACAGGTGAGCCAAGATGAGATGGACCTGAGTCCGAGTGGGTTGATGGAGTCTAGAGGGAGAGTTGGCTTTCTGGGGGCCCGGTGGGCTGGGGATGACCATAGCAAGCTGCATAGAGGAAGTGCCACTGAACTTGGTTTTGAGTAAAAAATCCAACCTCAGGAAAGAAAAAGAAGGGGGTCACCGTCGGGGAACTGCCTGAGCCATGGCACAGAGCTCAAAGGTCCTGGCATGCAGAGCTCAGGAGAGCCAGGCAGGTGAGGAGGACCACCAAGTTGTGGATGCTGCTCTGCATCTCAACTTTACCCAGCCCACCCGAGTTCCTGTGGGGGCAATCTGCTCCTCCCCAGTTCCCCAACCTTGATAAAGAAATGGGACCAACAGTCCCCTAGTTGGTCTTGTTAAGGATTTGGAACTAATTCTTGATTCTACCTTTTCTCTCACCCCACGCCCCACCCTGCCACTTCTCCATGTCAGTTCTCCAAATGTCTCTCAAGCCCATCCTCTGTCCTCCACGGCCACTGCCACCAGCCCCCCCCCACCAAGCTAATTTCATCCCTGGCTTAACCCACTGCAGCACACTCCCTAGGGCTCTCTGTTCCCCCTCTTGTCCCCTGTAACCCCCACTTCATGAAATATGAACTATGAGATCTGCAAACCAGACTTCGTCCCTTGCCCCCTTGAAACTTCCTGGTGGCTTCCCACCATGCTCGAGACCCTCCTGCAAGCTCTCTTCTAGTTCTAGAACTTTGTCCTGCCTATGCCTCTGCCCTCCCACCCCAGTCACCTCCAGCCCACGTGTCAGTCCTCAGAGGTCTGTCTGGACTCTCTTACCTGAAGTAGCCACCTTGGGCTCTCCCTTGCCACCCAGTTCTGTCATACCTCATGGTCCCTCAAAAGTCCACTCAGTGCAGGAGGGCTAAGATACAGGGGCATGACTTGCTGTGTGACTCTGGGTGATCCCTATCCCTTTCTGAGCTCTGTATCTTTTTTGCTCTCTCACCCTCAACACTAAGGATTTTACTGACTGGTAGGAAAGGGGGTGTACCAGCCTGGGGATCCTCACCTGGTTCTCACACACAAGGAAAGAAGTGTCCCTTGATTGTTTTGGGGAGTAGCTATTGTTATTCTGGCCACTATCATGAGCTCTGCTGGGTTAACCAGGTTGTCAAAATAATCCATACAGATGCCAGACACACCTCCCTACGCAGGTCAAGTGAACGACCTCTTTCAGGTCTGCTTTGTGAAGAAAGGAGAGGCACAGCCATGAAAGGGTGACCTGGGCAGCAGTTTACACTCAACATCACTAAAACCCCTCCCTGCCTTAATGCAGAGGCCATGGCTGAATTGTTTTAAATAAAATAGGATTCCCTCCTGGGTGTAAATGATTAATGGTGCCATTATTCCATTCTGTGCTATTAATCACTCACTCATCAGGTCTCACCAGAAATTCCAGGTTTTCCCACAGATTGGGAATTTTTTAAAAAGCAACCAGTCATCTCTTATTTTATATCAACATAGCATTTCCAATGTATAAAAATGTACACAGCTCTTCCCTTTAGAGACCCCCTAGCATTCATCTTCGGGAATTCTCCTCTAGAATTCTATTAACATTAAAATGAAATACTATGCCAAGTCAAGTCAGGACTGTAAAAATAAAGCCTGCCAAGGCTATTTTTCTTTCAGTGTTTATGATTCCTTGAGAATAAATTACCATTTGCCATTCATCCTTTATCTTCTGCAGGCTCCACCAGAGACTGGTGCCCACTTATGAGAGTGCATCCATTCGCCGATTCCGGGAGGGGCGAGTGGACAACATCAGATCTGCCACCCCACAGGCTTTGACTTTTGTGAGAGCCATGACTGACCACAAGGCTGCCATTCCAGTAAGTCCCATACCATCCTAAGGAGACACAAGGAGGGAGACATTGAGGCCACCGTGAGCTGCCCATCCACTGGGCTCCTGGACACCAGCTCCTTAAAGCCCTGTGGGCTGACCCTCTGCTCTGTTGACAGGCTTCCGAGAAACTGCTGCTTTTAAAGGATGCCATTCGAGCCCAGACTGAGTACACAGTCATGGTGAGTGATGTCGTGCCTCCTTGTGACCACAGTCTGTGCCCAGAGCCAGAGCTTGCCAGGATTGGGGCTGTGGCACAAGACCCTGGGTGAGAACAGCATCTCCAACTGCCAGTGGTTTGGCCACCTCCCTCTCAGAGTCTTCTTTTCTTGTTTTTAGAACATAGAGAGCACCCTGTTCCTTATTTTCCTGAGATTTTATAAGAGTATTAGGAGTCCTTTGAAACAACCATAATGTTAATAATAACATAGAACTTTTCAGTTTATACAAAAGAGGTCAAATGTGAGGGAACGGGGTTCTGGGCTGGCAAGTGGAAGCAGCTTGTGTACCTTTCACAATTGTACTTGCACTTGCGAGGGAGGCAGTATTTATTCCCACCTAGGTTTGATTTTTGCTTTTAATTTCCATGTGTTTATTTATGCTACCCGCACTGAAAATTAATACTGAATTCAAACTGTAAGGGAAGGGCGGGGGTTGTGGCTCAGAGGTAGAGTGCTCGTCTACCATGCATGAGGCACCGGGTTCAATCCTCAGCACCACATAAAAATTAAATAAAGATATTGTGTCCACCTATAACTAAAAAATAAATATTAAAAAAAACTGTAAGGGGGCCTTTTCCCTGGTTTAGGGAAATAATGTATTTTCTGGCACTGCAAAGACATCACTTGCAGGTAAACAATAGAGAATAAGCATCTGCTTGGGCCGATAATCAATATATTGATAGAAAATCATTCCAATACAGTCTTTGAAGGATAATATGAAAAGTTTTGATCAAATTTTACTCTATATATTTGAAAGCAACTATAATACATTTCTGAGGGTTTTTTTTGGGGGGTGTACTGGGGATTGAATGCAGGGGCACTGGATCACGGAGCCACATCTCTAGCCCTATTTTGTAATTTATTTAGAGACAGGGTCTCACTGAGTTGCTTAGCACTTTGCTTTTGCTGAGGCTGGCTTTGAACTCGTGATCCTCCTGCCTCAGCCTCCTGAGCCACTGGGATGACAGGTGTGTACCACCGCACCTGGCTCTGGATTTTAGCAACTTCTTCTCAGTTGCTATGTCCCTTTTATCTGAAGAGTTATGTTTGTTCTGTAAGGGAAAAATTAAATGCTCTGCTAGTCAGCTTTCCATTATTATAACAAAATGCCTAAGATAATAAACTTAGGAAGAGAAAAGATTTGTGTAGGCTCACAGTTTCAGAGGTTTCAGTCCATGGTCAGTTGGCCCCATGATTTTCAGGCCTTTGGTGACAGCACATCATGATGGGAGCCCATAGTGGGGCAAAGCCATTCACCTCATGGTGGAATGCAAAAGAGAAAGAGGAGGAGGAGGAGGGGTTGGGTTCTCACTATCCCTGGTAAGGGTTCACACTCCTTCCTCAGTGACCAGAAGGCCTCCCATGAAGCCCACCTCTTAAAATTTCCACCATCCAATAGTGCCAACCTACGGACTAAGCCTTTAACACAAGCCTTTGAGAGACATTTCAGATTCAAACTACAGCCAGTTTGTATTCTGGATTCAGTGGATATTTTGTTGTTGTTGTTGTTATTGTTGTTGTTGTTGTATTTTCCTGCTATAGGCCAGGAGAAGTGCTAGGTACTAAAAAAACAAACAAACAAAAAATGAAGCCTATAAACCCTATCCTTGGGGAGCTTAGTATATAGTTGGAGGAGAGGCTATTCAAAGTCAAGTCCAATCCCTTGTGAAAAGAGCACTCAGGAGGAAATAGCAAACATGGAGAAGGAAGCTCTTTCCTCTGCTTGGAAAATCCAAAAAAGACTTTCCAGAAGAAGTGGCGCTCCACATGAGACTTGAAGGATGAAGAGAGGAGAGGATAACCCAAGAAGGGAACATCAGGTGCAAAGGCAAAGAGTCTTGGGAGAATAAGATACATTTGAAGAAAAGTAGCTCTGTGTGTACAGCTGACCAAGGACAGAGGAGCAGGAGATGTTGGATTTCCTGTTAAAAGCTTACCCCAGTATGGAGTCTACAAAGGACCAGTGGGATTGATCGGTGGTGGTGTGCCAACCAGCAGAGATGCTGATTAGGAAGCTCTAGGACACTGAAGGAGAATTGATTAAGGGCTTCCACTGGGCAACAGCAGGGGTTAAAGAAGTCAACACAAACTTTTGATTTAACATGCAAACTGAACACAAGGGTCTATGGCACTCACTCTGAAACTCTCTAAAAAGACAGGAATTTTTTAACCCATAAATACGGTAGGGCAAAGAGATTGAGAAAGAAGGTAACATCAAAGTGTCCAAGCTAGAAATAGAACAGCTAGCAACTGACTTAGCAAACAGCAAGAGAAGCCGGGGTCCCCAATGAACTGCACTGCAGAGCCTTGGGGTGGCTCAGGCATTGTGGACACCCACCAAAACAGGGTGGATGTAGGGGTTGAAAAGAAGAGGGCTGATTGATTTGTTAGTCAGTGTTAACTGCTATAACTGAATACCTGAGACTGGATAACAGAGACAATGTGGTTTAGGTGCCCTCTCATGAACTCTTTGATCACCTTGTACTTTTCCTTCCCATCTCTTTCCTCATTTATGATGATATGTTTTTTGTTGGTTGGTGGCTCCCTGTCCCCCCACCCCCACTACACCATTAGCTCTATGACAGCTCCAACTTTGATTCCTCTGTTCTCCACTGTTGCTCAGTACCTCGCAGTACCAGGCATATGGTGGGCACTGAAAGTTTCCCTAAATGAGAGCCTGAACCATGAGTCGTTTTACTCTTAACTATTCATGGCTCTAATCTAAACATCCTTTTTACTCAGCTCTTGCTTCAGTTGGCACAGAGGTGGTGAAAACAGAAGTGGATCAGCTGCTCTAGAGAGCGGCTGCTTTTTTGGACACAAATCAGAGCTTAAATAGAGTAGCCTGAGAAATGAAAAGAGCCATCTCCTTTATGGACAGGCTCATAGCTCTTCCTGTCTGTCCTAATGGAGCACATCTAAGGTGAGATGGGGGAATGGGGGTGTCGCTCAGTGGTAGAGTGCTTGCCTAGCATGCATGAGGTCCTGGGTTTAATCCCCAGCACTGCAAAACAAACAAACAAGTAAATAAATAAATAAAACATATAAAAATGAGCTGTGGTTTGTAAACCTTGTCTTTTCAGACTGTTAACCAGGTGCCTTTAGAGAGCCTGGGGCCTCTGAAGATTATGAATCTAGATTAAGTGAATTGATCTGGAGCCCACAAAGTGACCAAGATTTAGCAAAAGACCTTATGCATCATCTTTATGCATTCATTCTCAACTGAAAGAGAACAGCTGTCAAATCCCAAAACGTGCTTTGTAAACCTAAGCAAAGTTTACAGGGAAGGAAGTTTTCCCCCTGTGACGGGCTGTAGCAGGAAATGGCCAATTTATGAACTATGAAACCCCCAAATTTACCTGAAGTTAATCTGAAGTTTATTGCTCTAGGGACGGGATAGCCCTCCCTGCAAGTCTCCACAGTCCCCCAATTGCCCCCAGATAAACATGTAATAATAATAATAATAACAATAACAGTATGCAAATAAAGTAAGGCCAGAACTAGTGCCCTGGCAGACACACCACCCCTCTGAGTCCCTCCTGCATTAAAATTCTGAAGCCCTAGCTCTATTAGCCTATGATTTGATAAGAGTTTATCTTTGTAATTTTTTTTTTTAAAAAGAGAGAGAGAGAAAATATCTCATTATTCAAGTAGCTCTTTCCCCTTGAAAATGTCAGCAGAGCCTCTGCTAAGTTATCTAGCTCCTGGCTCAAAATGATTTCTTAGATCACGAATCTAGATAAAGTGAATTGATCTGGGGCCCACAAATGGCGAAGATTTAGCAACAGACCTTTTGCTCTCTGGCCTGCCTTCCTTAGTCTCCTGCCAGAGGATGAAGCATTGATTGTGGTCAGAGAGCCCCCCATCACGACAGTCAGAGACACCCTTCCCAGTGCTTGAATGGGGCTCAGCAGTCCCTGGACCCAGCACACAACCTTCTCCCCAAACTCCCTCCCAGGTCTGAGCAGGTTGCTACTTGGGTTGGCCAGGTTAAACTCACTCCTCCATTGGAGCATCATGTGGATGTGGGTGTAGAGTGGATGCTTGCTGACCTTTAACTCAGACATCCTTAGGGTACAGTCCAACCTGCTCTGGACTCATCCTATACCTGCAGAAATGCACCTGGCCCAAGGGCCAGAGGTAAAGTGGTGATGCTAAGTGGCCATTCACATACTTTGGCTGCAGCAAGCACTAGGTAAGCAGGAGCCATGACTGTTGGAGACACCATTAGTGTTGTGGAGTAGAGAGTAAGGGAAAAGGATGCACAGAGGAGCCCATGTCCCATCTCTTGTTCTTTGTCCCCAACCACCCAGGCCATAACAGGAATGGCCATCGACAACCACCTGCTAGCACTGCGGGAGCTGGCCCGGGATCTGTACAAGGAGCCACCTGAGATGTTTACAGATGAGACATATCTGATGAGCAACCGATTTGTCCTCTCCACCAGCCAGGTACAGCCCCTGTATGCACAGTCATGACCCAAGAGAACCCAGAGTGTAAGCAGTGAGCTTTCTAGAAGGCTCAGTAGTTGAGAGCCCACTGGCTGGAGTCAGGCAAGTTCTGACTCTACCTCTGCCTCTTTCAAAAATTTTTTAAAATTTTAACTGACACATAGTTATGCATATTCACAGGCTACAGTGTGATATTGCAGTACTTATATACAATGTGTAATGGTCAGATCAGGATAATTAACATATCTATCACCTCAGACATTTATCATTTCTTTGTGTTGGGCACATTGAAAATCTTCTTTACTATCCATTTTGAAATATTTCATTAATTGTTGTCAACCATCTACCCTACTGTGCCATAGAACATTAGAACTGATTCCTCCTATCTAACTACCCCCCAACCCCATACCCCATACCCATTCATCATTCTCTCCATCCCTCCTTCCTCTGCCTGGCTCTGCTTCTTACAAATTATGTCACCTTTGGCAAAATAATCTAAAAGTTCAGAGCACTGGTTTGCCATCTCCTAAATGGGAACAACCACAGACTCCATTTTAGCCAAGAACACACCATGCTAGGAACACACCATGCCAGTACTCTAACCATTATGCAGCACTGCCTTCAACCTGTTACCTGAGAGGTAGTGTCCCACCATGGGGACCAAAGACTCTGAAGCCCAACAGGCTTAAATGGACCCTCCACACAAGTCACAGGCATTATCATAAAGGGTCATGCCACCAAGAGCAGAAGGTGAGTGGCCAGCCCAATATTTTCTAATCTGTGCTACAGACAGGCCCCTTGTGTTGGAGGACCACTGTCACAGAGACAGAATGAAATCCATTAGCGGGAGGCAGCAGTCAAGGGGAGGAATACCCCCACACTCGTCAATTTACTAAAACTCCACCTCATCTGTGAACGGCCGGACATGGGCAATAAAAGGGGCTGATAAAGCTGTGTTTGAGGATAAAAGCCCACTCAGTAATTTGATTTTGTCATTACGGCAGTGAGCTTGCCGACATGAATAAACGGGGACAGAACATAACAACATAAATTCTTCAGGAAACCATCCATGGGCAAAAAGTGCTTTGGAATGGCTTTATGGCCTTCGGCTATTGCACGGCAAATTTATCTGACAATGCGGTGACTCTATTAGTAAGACTAATGGTTTGTTCTGCCCCATTAAAATGGCCAGTATCGCTAAAGAAGGCCAGAGAACACAGCACCAGAACACAGCACCAGAAACCTGTTAGGTTTAAAAACAAACCCTGTCCCACACCTAGGGACAGCTAATTTAATTAATTAATTAGGGTGTGGGTTTTTTGATGGTTGTTTTTCCCACTGGAGAGTAGCATTTATGACTTGAAAGCCTTCTGAAACACACTTACTGTGTTTATGATCCAGATTACAAAATCTTAGCACTCTGACTTTAAAACATATCAGGCACAAAACTAAAACTCCAGCTGATGGCAACCTTTTAAAAGCCCGATCCTGGGTAATTGTGCATGGCCAGGCTGTGGAGAGAGAATCAGACCAGCCAGGCAACACTGACAGTAATTAAGGATTGGGGGAAATCAACAGAGAAGATGGGCCAGATTTCCTCCAGTTCATAAATTACTCCCTGTGGGAAGCCATCTAACAGTTGGGTGCCACCAGGGTGCCATTTAGTAAATTACCCTGATTGCCACTGTGCCTCAAATGGCCCCCAGGTGAAGAAGAGACTCAGCCCAAGCCCCAGCACTAGGTCACCCTGGGAGCTTCCAATTCCACAAGTAGAGCAGATTGTACACTGGGGAGTGGGCTTGGGGTCCCTCTCCCTCTGAAATCATGCAGTTAGATGCATTTGTTTTTATGACTCTGGCTGTGTCCACCCATGCTGAAGCAATCAGTTGATTTGGTTAATTCAGTCAAACCCCAGGAGTGGAAAATAGGGAAGCAAATACCCAGCAGAGGCCCCGGGATATTGGAACGCCCCACATTCTAGCAGGTTCACAGGTTGCATTTCAGAACAAGCTGCTGCTGACCTGATCTCTTCTTCAGGTGCCCACAACCATGGAAATGTTTTGCTGCTATGGTCCTGTGGTCCCCAATGGCTATGGTGCCTGCTATAACCCCCAGCCTGAGACCATCCTCTTCTGCATCTCCAGTTTTCACAACTGCAAGGAAACCTCTTCTACAGAGTTTGCAAAAGCTGTGGGAGCAAGCCTTACCGACATGAGAGACCTCTGCAGTTCGCTGCAGCCAGCTGACGGCAAGTCATTGGCAACAAAGGAAAAAGCCATGAGGCCCAGCCAGGGGCACCAGCCTTGACTCCTGTCACTCGGTTTCAGCTCCTTGAGCCCAGCCTTCTGAGGCTGCCAGACCCTGCCAAATCCCTGCTCCCACCCGTCACTCCAGCTTTCTGTAGCTTACCTCTCCTCAGGACCCAACCCACAGGTCACCTAGAGGCATCACACAAGGCTGCAGTGTTAGCAAGAAAGGGTCCCTCGTTATGCATGGGAATCATCACTATTCATCAAGGTGCCCTCTGGTCTGTGCACTGGGAAGGGAAACCAGACTGGCTTGGAGGTGGCCTGGAGGTAGGAGATCCCCATCAAGGTCTTCCTTCCATAGACCTCAGAAGCTTAATACTCATGTGTCCCTCCCCAGCAGGACGTAAGCATGCCCAGGTAATGTTTCTGCCCAATGAAAGAATGAGTCACTCAATTACATGCAGTGTACCCAAATGAAGCATGAAGGCAGAGGCTAGCTCTGGATTATTACCTCTTTTCTTTGGGGGAGGGACAGGGGGCTTTGTTTTCAGATTTAAAGTATCAGATCTTGGCATTCAGAGCATCTCTATTGAGCCATACAGTCCTGCAAGACCCTGCTCTACCCTCTACATACACACACACACACACGCACACACACACACACACACACACCCCAAGTTCATAAAATATAGTGACCTATGTCCCAAACACATTTCTCCTTTCACCCTCTGGGAGAAACCTTCTGTTGCATTCAAAAATCTTATCTAGCTATTCTGAAAGAAAAAAAAATTTGCATTGACCCTGTGACTTGTGACTCTCAGCGTCTCAGGCAGCACCAGGGTCAGTTCAAAGTGAGCAAACCATGCGGCCCTGAGCAGGCAGAGTGGATATGTGGAGGACAGGTTCACTTCCTAAGGTCATGCCTTTTGCAGTTTTTTTTTTTCCTATTTGTTTCACACTAAATAGGCCCAGTGTGTGATTGGTGCCAGTAGGTGGAGGTCAAAGAGAGTTGCTTTAGGTTTTTCTATTGTTATAATTTATCTTTTGTTTAAAACTTTTTATTTAAAAACATATTTTTTGTGGTACTGGGGATTGAACCTAGGGGGGGTTGCTCTACTACTGAGCTCATCCCCAGTCTTTTAAAATTTGTATTTATTTTGAAATAAGGTTTCTCTAACCTGCAAGGCTGGCCTTGAACTCGTAATCCTCCTGCCTCAGCCTCTCAAAAGAGTTCCTGGGATTACAGACATGTGCCACTGCACTTTACTCTTTTTTGTTTGTTTTCAAGAGAGGAATTTTTAAGGAAATCATTCTGCCCAGGCATGGCAGTGCATACCTGTAATCCCAGCTACGTGGGAGGCTAAGGCAAGAAGATCACAAATTTGAGGCCAGCCTTGGCAACTTAGTGAGACCCGGTCTCAAAATAAAAAGGACAGGATGTAGCTGAGTGGTAAAACATCCCTGGGTTTAACCCCCAGTACCAAAAAGGGAAGTAGAGAAGGAAGGGGGGTAGATGAGAAGAAAAAGAAAGTCAGATTGACATTAATTTCAGAAATTACCTCCACGGCTCAAGCACGATACCCTTAAGTGACTGGGCTTCTTTATTTGGAAGATTCACCTTCGGGATTCTGAAGGAGTCCAATACAAGTCTCTCCTCTGGCTTCTGGGACTGAGGGGACAGCTGACAGAAAGCCAGACAGGGAAGCGAGGTTAAGATTGTCCTGCAGGGCTGTGACTGTACAGGAGGTGTGAGAGGCACCTTAAAATTCTTTAAGTGACAGGTAATAATCGTATTTACTATGGAATGCAATGTGATGTTTCAGTACACGTGTATAATATGTGATGGTCAGATAGGGTCATCAGCAGATCTAGCACCTCCAGCATCCATCACATCTTTGCAGTACAAACATTCCAAATCCCCTCTTCTAGAGTTGAAGTAACCTACGCAGTGCTATGGACTCCAGCCATCCTCCTGTGCAACAGGACACCAGAACTCACCCCTCTGTCTGACCATAACCCTGTACTTGGTGACCCGCCTCTGCTCTTTCCTTCTCCCACCCTCCTCTATGTCTAGGAATCATCATCCTACTCTCAGCTTCTGTAAATCAGATCAGTTTTTTAGTTGGAAGTCTAAATGGCAGGGGAAGTGGAATGGGAAAGTAAAACATCTAAAGTGCAGGGAACAGGCAGAGCCCACCCCCTACTGTGTTGTTGTGCCCTCCTGTGGAGTTCCTAGAAAAGCCCCCTCCCCAGTCCAGGTGAGCTCTGTGTCATTCTAAGCGCTCCATCCACTCTGACCCAGGGGTACTGCAAGAGTTCCTTCTCTGGGCCACTGTGAAAGCTGTCTGCACCTTGCTTTGGGTTGCCACAGGTGGGCTAAGGCAGGGCAGGCATTTGATCTTGCTTAGCTATTTGAGAACACAAGCAACCCAAAGGAGAGGAGTCCTTGAGACCCTGGTTTCAGGAGGAAGATCTCCTATTGAATGATGGGGGAGATTTGGCCACTGGCTTCTAACATTTAAACTTAAGCCACTGGTCTGTAGGTCCATGTGGCTTCCCCTGAGGCCTACCTTCCAGTTTCTCTTGGCAACTCGCAGCCCAAAGACTCTGGGGGTTTCTGGGGACCTGCAGTCTACCTTCTGAATGCTAGCCCCCTGTCTGATCTCACTCAGTGACCTCAGTGCCAGATCTGAGTTCTCTTCCAGTTTCCCTCCGTGGATTTTTCTGCAGACAAAATTCTCTGACTGTAGGGTCAGGCAGCTCCACTGAACGTGGCCAAGTGATTTAAATGCCCAAAGACTTAATTCCCTCCATGGTCAAATGAGAACAATAGTCTCCCCATCTTGCCAGGCTCTGAGGGATGGAGACCATGTGCGCAAAGCTCTTGTGTGGCAGGGGGGCAGTAGTGCCCACCCTCAGAATGGCTTTCCCCAGCAGGCATTGTTCACACTGCTCGGACAGAACCAAGTTCATAGCTGCTATTCTCTGAATATAGGGAAAGGGAACTCACTCTGTATATTCAGATATTAAACCATTCACTGTGAGGGTCTGAGAATCATGGGTGACAGACACTTGGCTGGAGGGAACACCTCTTCTGTCTGAGGAAGGGGCTGGAAGCTGGTCTTCCCCCTCCAAGAACAGATGGGTCCACTACGTCTTTATGCAAAGGCAACACTGAGCCATGGCCAAGGGCATTTCTGTGGGGACTCTGGGAAAGGAGATTGTTCCATGTGTCCCCAAAGAGATGGAAAATGAGACAGTCATTTGGAACAATGATGCATAATAAATGTGGCCACCTTACAAGACTGCTAAGTTGCCAAAATATATAAAGTTAATATTTAAGTTCTATTTTTATAAAATAGTTATAGATTTATGGCAATATGTACATGTGTATTTATAGCCTTTCCATCTTAATTTATAGTTTTGTGCTTTAAAGAAATATATGTATGATTAAAGAACTGTATATTGAAAGCATTCTATTCAATGTATTTAAAAGACCCTAACTCTGTATTCAATAAAACTTAATGCCAAGAAAGATGTCGCTGGTCATTGTATCTACTGACAAATGCTATAAAATATAATGCTGTAAATTCTGTGAACTGGATCAACAATTCTTTGGCCTTTGTCTGTATTTTGCCAGCAATAGTGGCAAATGTCTAAAAGATATAGGGAAGTTGGGTACAGTGGTACACACTTGTAGTCACAGATACTTGGGAGGCTGAGGCAGGAGTATCTCTGGAATCCAGGAGTTTGAGGCCAACCTGGCACTGTATTGAGAACTTATCTCTTAAAAAAAAAAACAATAAAAATGAAAGCTATAGGGGTCAAGAGAGAAAAGGGGCCAGCATAGTGGTACATGCCTGTAATCTCAGTGGCTTGGGAGGCTGAAGCAGGAGGATACTGAGTTCAAAGCCAGCCTCAGCAATGGTGATGTGCTAAGCAACTCAGTGAGACCCTGTCTCTAAATAAAATACAACATAGGGCTGGGGATGTGGCTCAGTGGCTGAATACCCCTGAGTTCAATCCCCAGAAGAAAAGGGCTGGGGATGTAGCTCAGAGATAAAACACTGTGGGTTCAATCCCCAGGAAAATGAGGAAGGAAAAAAATAAGGAAGGGAGGGAGAAAGGAGGGAGGAAAGACGTAGGGAGGTAAAGAAGGAAGGAAGGAATCTTCACATTCCAGAATCAACTGAAGGATGTTCAAAACACAACAATAAGCAGAAGCTAAAGGTGCGTCAGACAGACCCAGACCGCAGTGGGGCTGGTGGGGGTCTACCCTTGCTGCCAGTTGAAAGGCCACGTAGCCCACGGAAGTTGGGAAAAGCAGCTAGGAACTCCCTCCACAAAACCAAGACCTCCTAGAGGTATCCCAACCTTGTGAAAAAGCCCTGAAAAACCCTTTCCATTGGCTCAAGGGAGCAATGAAGAAATCTGCCATGTACTCGGGGCTGTAGAAGAGGAGGAAACACAACCCATGAGAAATCAAAACCACAAACTTGTGCCACATGAGGACTTTGAATCAACACACCTTCTGTGTAAAGTAGGACCTCTAAGACTATAATTTAAAAAACCAATTGGGCCCAGCACAGTGGTACACACCTGTAATCCCAGCTGATGCAGGAGGATCACCAGTTCAAAGCCAGGCTCAGCAATTTAGCAAGACCCTGTCTCAAAATAAAAAAGGGCTGGGGATATGGTTCAGTGGATAAACGTCCCGGATTTAAAACCTGGCATTAAAAAAAAAAATTGGCCTGGGTCAGTAAGACCCAAAGGACCTCAGAAGAATCAAATTCAAAACTACTTTCCTGGACCCACCAAACACATATGGACACACCAAACACATATGGAGGGAAACATTATACAAAGTGACACAGAAGATTTGAAAAGGAACAGACTAAAATTCTAGAATTGGAAAATAAATAACCAGGTTGATGGCTTTCACATAAGTGAAGACACAGATGAAAAGAAAATTAGTAAACTGGATTGTTTATAAAAATGAACAATTGCACATAGATAGTGTACAAGCATATATACATTCTAGAAAAAAAAGCAGGGAAAGAGGGGTAAAAAGAGAAAAAAATACAGAAGAGAAGAAACAAAGAATATGGTAAGAAGGTCTAGCATATTTAGAGTCCGTGAAATGTAAAAATGGAACAGAAGTAGCCTGTGAAGAACTAATGGCTCAACCAGTCATGGTTGTGTAAACCTGTAATCCCATGGACTCAGGAGGCTGAGGCAGGAGGATCACAGTTCAAGGTCAGCCTCAGCAACTTAGTGAGGCCCTAAGCAACTTAGTGTGAGACTGTCTCAAAAGAAAAAATAAAAAGGGTGGGGATGGGGTCAGTGGTAATGCACTCCTGGGTTCAATCACCAGTATCAATGGGGAAGAAAAAAAGTAATATCTAAAACTTTTCCAAAAACTAATGAAGGGCATTCATTTAGTCTCAAGAATCTCCACAAATTCCAAGTAGGATAAAGAAAAAGAAATTTATACATAGGCACCTTACAGTGAAACCGTAGAAAGCAAGTGATAAACATGAAAACAGAACAGTAACAACAACAAAGCAATAATAATACTTCTAAAATTTTTAGCAAAGTGAATGCTACAGTTAAATTTCTAATAAATAAAAACATTAAAATGAAATGATGATTTTTGCCTCATAAAAAGTATATAAAACTTAGAGAGAACCAGATAATATGAATCCCTGTAAGACAGGACACCTGACCATACTGAGCCAGCAGGAAGATTAACAATGTCATTACAGTTCCACATTCCTCCCCAATTTACTGTACTCAACTCTGTTGGTGAGTTCAGTTGTCATTTGATGGTGAAAACAATGTGCTGGGGGAAATTATTTATAACCCCCCCCAATTCAGAATTCTCCTGGCATCATCCCTCTATTTACCAAACATGTATAAACTAACTTCAAAGAAATATGTGTCATAGTAGAACAGATTGTACCCACAGAAAGAACTAAAACACAGAAACAAGAACCTATGCTGGGAGAAAAAGTAATGATAAAGGGTTTTTAAATCTTTTCACTGTTCAAAAGGAGGATAAAAAATAACAGCTACCATTGATTTTTGGAAATTAAAGATATATGTTGTAATTTCAAGGGTGTAATTATTAGATT